CACAAAGATAAAAGGCAAACAAATTCAAATGAGTACTCACCACCATTCTATTCCATAATGGAGAGATGAACTGTGCTCTAACCAGGTTTAGGATTAACGGGATTTCGGGTTTAGGAATATGGTACTCGAATTAAACCCTAATCTATTATGGATGGGTTCGAATTTTCAGCTTAAGGCTCAATTCAGTTTTCAAACTGGATCAGTTGCATATCCCTAGAGGTAAGAGGTACGTATTTTTACCTTTAAGCTCTCCTGCATCATAACAAAGAGAAGACCGGGTGTTGTTTTCTCGATCACCTCTTTTGTTGCTTCAGGTGTTACATCTCTCGGGGTGCAGCCGGTACCACCTAGTTGCAGGAAGTTACGTATATCAAAAATGTGATTCAAACACAACTGAGAAATCTACAATAAGTAACTAATTGTTTATATACCAAGTGTGAGAATGAGATCGATTTCGTCAACATCGCTCCATTTCTTGAGAATGTCTTTGATTCTTTCCACTTCATCGGGGACAACAGCTGTCGCAACTACCTTAGCTCCTCCCAGCTTTTCAGACGAGGATTCAACTACTGATATGGCCCTGGGCCCACTGCACCAGCATAAGAAAATCAATGAAGAGGTATTCACGAAATAAATGAATAATAGGAGCAAAAAAATTTATCTGGCACCACGCTTTCTCTGACTTAGAAAATGAGAAATAGCATCGAGATAGATGTAGCAAAGCAGTGTGGTGCTTCCCTCCCCGTCTTACTATCACAAGGAGTAACATCACTTTGCAGTTTTACTATGGCATCAAATAAGTGATCTTACCAGAATAACGAACTGGCGAGATGTATCTAGATGCACTTTTTTAAACCAAAAAACCTTTAATAAACTCACTGTTCCAGAGTTTTCACTCACTGCATTTATATCTGGCTGAGGAGATTATTGACTCTACATCACTAATATTACATTGAAAGAGAAACTGAGAATTCTGGACGCTTTCACTTTAGCTACAAATAGTCAGCCTGTTACAGGTCATCTAAACAAAGAGTGCAAATATGTTTACCGACAAACAGAAATCTCTACCAAAAAACACCCATCAACAAGAAAAGGTCGCAATTATTAGAAGGAAAGAAATGCGGGACAAGGGACTTCATCAAAATCAATGTATTCTAGTGCAAAGACAACCTCGCCATTGCCATTTTGGTATCATCTTCTAATAGTGATCATGCGAGTAAAGATGCAACTAAAAAGTAATGTGCATCTGTTCCAACATCCTTACAAACTCAAATCATCCAGATTAGTAACGGGACAATCAAGAAAGTTTAACAGTAATCATACCTTCGATCAGGTCCAGCCCCCGCTGAGACTGTATCACTAACAGTAAGAATAGCCACTTTATACTCAGGCCCAGGTACTTTATCGCACTTCATTTCTTTTCGAATAGATTCTGGTTCTGATAATGGGGCTTTATTGTCCATAGAGAAGCCGCTAATATCGGAAACAATTACAGCTGATACAGAAGTTCCAGCAGAAAGGACATTGCCGGTAGCAGGCAACTCCAACAAAGCATTAGCCGACCTCATACTTAGAAGCCGACTGCTCATCTGATGTCCAGTGCTCTCAGCAACGAATCTGATATACAGGTATATCTTATTAATCCATTTAAGACAGTAATGCATTTTGGAACTTTCAAGAAAATCTAGGAAGGTCTGGCTAACTTTTTTTACTCAAAAGCAGACATGATTCTAAAAACTCACCCAGAAGTCCCTGATCCATCGTTTTCTTTCCATTTGATGATGGCCCGATGAAACTCTGGACGGATGGGATCAGGCTTTATGGGCTCCTGAAGTCGAACTCGCACTCTGCACAGTGATTAGAAAGTAATCTACCCTTTAACTGATGATCATTTTAGAACGAGTTCATATGGAGAAACACATATTATGAAAAATTCAGTAACCTCAGTGGATGGGGGCTTGTCCATCCTGCAATCTGGCGGATTGTAGGCACAACAAAGAGATGGAAACAAACCAAACAGCTTACAGGATTCCCTGGTAATCCAAATGCAAGAACTGTTTTCCCCGTCATACTTTTAGTTGCTTTTGCGCTGATCTCAGCAAACGTCAAAGGTTTCCCAGGTTTCATCAATACCTGAAACACAATTTAATTTTAAAGTCTTCTTAGTTCAATCTGTATATCAAACTAAATATTGTCAACTTGATGAGCTGAAGTTGAGAAATCAAATAGTAGAGTCAGGTAAAAAAGATTGTCAGAAAGCATAGAAGCCAACTCTTCTCCTTCTAAGCAGAGAAAAAACAATCTTCATGGAGATGATTTAGGAAACTTATACTGTTTATTTACCTTGGTGAAATGTACTTTCCCTTTCTCTTCGAATAATGGCTTGACAAAATCTCTGTCTCCCATTGAAACACCACCAGAAGTTAAAATAATATCTACTCCAGAGGATATGGCCTCATCCAAAACTCTCTCAAGTTCCTCTCTATCATCTCTAACGATTCCAAGGTCAACAACTTTGCATTGCTGCTGCATCACTGCTGCCACTAACATTGCTCGGTTTGAGTCCCTAATCTGCAAAGAGCCCATTCTTTAGCCACTAAAGTAATGATGGGGTCCAATGTCTTTTCCAATTAATACACAGGCATAAATAAGTAAATAACACATGCATCGAAATATTGATTCTGCATAATACCTGACCACGGCCTAAAGTCCCAGCTGTCGCCTCGACAAGTTCATCCCCAGTAGAGAGAATAGCAACTGTTGGCATAGTATATACCTACATGAAATTTTACATTTCTGTTTTAGGACACATCCTCTAGTAAATTTGCTAAGATAAAACCTGATATACAGCAATACCTTATACCTTCACTAAGGTTACTCCTGCAGTTGCTAGCAAGCCAATTTCTGAGGCACCAATCCTTTCTCCAGTTTTTAGTATAGTTGCATCTTTCTCAATATCACAACCCTAGCATATAAATTGAATGAATCTTATGGAAGCCGCAATCAAGTCAAACAATAACGAACATAAAATGATTCCAAACAGCTGGAAAAATCTGCCGTTTCATCGGATTTTTATGTTTGATGTTTGATAATAAAAGGGAAACATGCTTTAGCTATCCTCGGGTCTTCTAGTGATGACCTCAAGTATGCTAACTCTAACTCTCAGAAGCGTAATCAGAAATGCTAGGCTCAATTCAAGTACATAACCAAAACTCTCCCAACACCGTCTACTTGTCCCAATAAAAGAAAGAAATGACTTAAAAATCAACCGACACAACTGTTCAAATCATTTGACACACCAGTCTTGCATGCATCCTTAAGTTTCTAAGCTCAACAAATGGCAGTACATAAAAGAGAACAGTTTGATACTACACTTATTTAGCAAATAGTCATAAAGGAGACCAAGGATATCAGCTACAAGACTGATTATATAAGCGGGAAAGAAGAAGCCATACCACTCTACGGATGTCAGTGCCTTTCTTGGTTTGAATCAGTATTTTTACTCTTTTTGATTCAGTTGCGACGTCTCCAATTACTTTAGTGTCCTCAACTTGGACAACTGCATCAGCTCCATCAGGTATAGGTCCTAAAGAGAAACATATCAAAGAAAAAATTAGGTTGAATTAAAAGAAACAGCTACTTTTCTGACACTTCCCCATACTACCAAACGGCAAATTGTAGTAACTAGTAAGGAACAAACAGAAAATAAGAACTTTCAAATACAGTTGGAATTTTAATGTCAAAACACAAAAAGCAGGTTCACAGTTCTCATATGTGAAAATGATACAAATCATCAGTAAGAGATTTTTCATTGAATACAATATACTTACCACCAGTTGTTACATAAGCCACAGTTCCAGGAGTAACAGTTACACCCAGTCCATCATTCCCAGCTCTTGATTCTGTAATCACGGAGTATTCTCCAGGACCATCTGAAGCGACAACTGCATACCCATCCTAAACAACATACATAAACATCATGTAATGTTATTCAAGTATTCGGCGAAGTACTAATCACCAGCTTTACATCTTTTCTTTTTGGATAAAAGCTTGACATCTTTCATTTCAATTCTGCATTTCTCAAATTTCAATGGATCAAACATGTGAAAATCAAGTGTATTAGAATGATTCTCGAAAAAACGACAAGACACATATACTGAAATCAAATCAACCGTTTCATACAGTTTACCCCAAAGTCTCCATTTTAAGCACATGCAACCTCACTGGAACTAAAATCTAATAATGTCAATTTCATCAAGACGCTAAAGTGTTCGTTAATCACCATATAATTATATCCCCATGAGTAACAATACAAATCGTTTCACGAAGATTAACAGAGAGAAATGTAACCCAACCGTACTAATCAGGAGACAATTAGCCAATCAACCGCTAAATCAATAGCCAAAACTCATTTTGTACTAGTTTCGAATGCTATTCACCTTGACGGAAGCAGGATATGGAGGCAGAGGATCAGGAGCACGAATATCCTCCGCTAACACTTTCCCAAGCGCTTCATATAGCGATAGGATTACCGGAGGTAGCCTCTCGGAGACGCCGAGTACTATCCTTAAAGCTTCCTCCGTCGGTATCATCTCCGTCTTTCCGCCGCCGCCACAACAACCTTCATGACCATCCATTTTTCCACTGTTTGATATAGAGAGAGCGAGAGTCGATGGTGATTTTGAATACGAGGAGAGAAGATGAGAGCAAAGTTGACCGCTTGTTTGGCAATCGGATTTAAGTTATGACTTTTAAAACTATTGGTAGAATTGGTTTAAACCGGAAACCAAACACTCCCTTATAAACTTCATCTCTGATTAAAATTGGTAAGTTATACAAACGTCTTATTAATCTTCCCTCTTTGGTCCTCCTTTGCGATTTTTCTTTTAAATAATTTCGAAATAATCCAAAATTGAAATTCAAGAACCCTAGAATCTCTCGTCCGTCGAGGGTGATTCTTGTTTTCGTGATCAGATAGCGGCGGATTTCCCAAAACATCGATGTCCGGATCACTGATTCCGGGATCGAATCCGGATCGGATTTCATCTCCGACGAGCTCGAAGTCGGTGACGCAGACGGTGAACGGGTCGCACCAATTCGTGATACAAGGGTATAGCTTAGCGAAAGGGATGGGTGTAGGGAAACACATAGCGAGTGATAACTTCTCCGTCGGAGGATATCAGTGGGGGATCTTCTTCTACCCGGACGGTAAGAATCCGGAGGATAACTCCGGGTACGTCTCTGTCTTCATCGCGTTGGCTAGCGAAGGAACTGAAGTCAGGGCACTTTTTGAGCTAACTCTTGTCGACCAAAGCGGAAAGGGGAAGCATAAGGTCCATAGCCATTTTGAGCGGTCGCTTGATAGTGGACCTTACACTCTCAAATACAGAGGAAGCATGTGGTACGGGTTTTTTTTTTCACTTGCGCTCATAATTCTTGATTACAATCTATGATTATTGAATTTTAGGGATAAATCATGCTTAGTTCGGCTAAATTGATGCATGTTTGTTGTTGGAGAATTCCGGTGAGGAAGGTCTACTTTTGATTAGATATTTGTATACATGAATGAAAGATGTGAAATTGATAACATGAATGAGAATATATACATCATCTTGTTAATCTTGATAATAGAAGAGGGGTTTTTCATAGAGTTCAGTTGCCATATTGAGGAATCCTGGGATTGCTTGGAAATGATATTGCGACATCTGCTGGGTGTACTTAAACCTTGTGAACGACTAAGGATGGATCTAAATTTGAACTCTGTCAATGCTGCTTGAAGTTCCAAGTTTGTGATTTAAAGCATTAAAATTGTAGAATTCAGTTCAGTGTAGTAAGTTAGTAACATTCCTTCAACTCATTCAGTGATGTGGTTCTTGCTACCGTTCAAAATCTTGTTTCTGAGATCAATATTGTGGCGAAAAGAAAGATGTGGATGGTTTTATGTTCGTGCTGCAAAGAAAGTTGACCATAAGGTTATTTAGCTAACTGAATTGTCCGAGTGTGTTAAGAAGACATAGCCTTCGCTTGTGTCTGAACTGGAAAAGTTTTCTTAATTTCAGCGAAGAAGCTATGTCTTCCATTCTTCCAATTCCTTTGATCCTTAAATAAATTGATCTTCTCTTCTCTTTACATTTATCTCTTGCTTATCTCTTACTATATGCTAACTTAAGCTACTCTGAGTCTCTTATTCTCTTTTCTTCTTTGTGTTTTGATTAGGGGATACAAGCGTTTCTTCAGACGTAACCAGCTTGAGATATCTGACTATCTCAAAGATGATTGCTTGATAATTAATTGTACGGTTGGAGTTGTGGTTTCAGAAATACACTGCCCACGGCGGTTACACTCCGTTCAGGTCCCTGATTCAGAACTTGGATCACATTTTGGAGTTTTATTGGATAGCATGGAAGGTTCTGATATCACTTTTGACATTGCTGGCGAAAAGTTTCCAGCTCATAAATTAGTACTGGCTGCTCGATCTCCATATTTTAAGTCTAAATTCTTCAAAGAGCCTGAAGCAGACAATACAGAGGTTACGATCAACGATTTGGAACCAAAGGTTTTTAAGGTACATCATTTGTGGTTTATTCTTTACTTGTTTCTGTTTGTTCAGATCGTACCTGTACTTATGATATGTTCCTTCCAGGCTTTGCTACAATTCATATATAAAGATTCTCTTCCGGATGATGTGGAGCCTGTGACAACTCATACATTTGAAATCTTAAAGCTGTCTGAAATCTACGAGACATTGATTGTAAAGCTTTTAGCAGCAGCGGACAAATTTGACCTTAATAGGCTTAGGTTATTGTGTGAATTTCATATCTGCAAAGGCGTATCAGTCAAATCTGTCGCCAAGATCTTAGCATTGGCCGACAGATATAATGCTACAGAACTTAAAAGCGTTTGCTTAAAATTTACTGCCGAGAACCTAGCAGGTATGATCTTAAAATATCAAGTTGTGTTTACGGTTTACGGTTTACGGTTTCTGCATATCAAGTGTATAATCGATCTTCTGTGGTGGGGGTTTTAACATTGCAGCGGTCCTGGAGACAGACGCGTACAAGGAGCTGAAGGATGAATGTCTTTCCCTGCAGTCTGAGCTTCTGAAGGCGGTGGCTGGTTACGAGGAAGGCAGCAACAGTACCGGAGGAGCAAAGTCTCAGAGCGTGTGGGCTCAACTATCAGACGGTGGTGGCGATACAAGCAGCCGGCATGTTAGACAACGAACCACCTAGAGCCTCAATATGCATTATCTCAGTTTAATAACCATAGAGGGGTATATAGTTGCTTTTTTTCTGTACTTGTGTTTCCAATTTTTGAAAGGTTTTTGTGGACTACTTTGAATATGATCCTAACTCTATGATAGGTCAAATCTTTCACTTTTATAATTGTTTCATATGGTCCATGTTCGCGTATTACATGTTTTACATTTATCATTCAGGTTTATGTTGCAGCTCATAACAATCTTAGTCAATATAAAAATGCAACTCAAGTCCATTAAAATCCAACCAAGACCCACAAAAAACAGTCGAGAAGCTAAAAAAAAGGTCAACGAGAAAATCATGAAACACCAACTTTGGTTAGTTCGGAAGCAGAAAAAAACTAAAAAATGTTTTGTATCAGCAGAAGAACGTTGAGGTAGCAACATTCTTGTTCAGCTTTGGCATGGGAGGCACAGGGACTGGTCCAGATGTCGTGATCCCGCCATGGCTCGATGAAGTCTCTGACATGTCCTCAAACTTCATCATAGTTCCCATCTGTGCAGCTGCCCAATGAGCATAACAAATAGGTGCAACTGCAAAGGAAACATGAACAAGGACCACATGACAAAGATCTATAACTATCAGCCGCTATAAATAAAATAAAATGAGAATTACCGACTGAGATGGCAGTGGTGCTTCTCTGGTAGCTACAAGTATAAAACCACAAGGATATGAAGCAGATACAGAGTTGTAAAAGTGTGGTGATGCTTACACAGAGGATAAAGAATGGACTAGTTCTTGGAGGTCATCTGTTGAAAATCCAATCTCGTCGTAGAGCACATGGTAATGTGTTGGCCTTGTAGTTCCCTATCACATGTCAATGGCATCCACATATCTTTACGCATCCAAAAACATAGGATAATGATAATTTTTGCTCGAATAACAACGGATTTCAAGCAGACGATTTTTCACTTACAATCATTCCAGCACGAGCACAAAGATAGAAATCATTGTTCTGCAGGTGACAGATGTTGCTGTCATTGATAGTTCCTGCAGGTAATAGGAAACATGTTTCAGGTCATTTCAACAACACCAACAAACCAAAAACACACAAAAATCAAACTATGTAACTTATCAGGTTACAAAAATGGATTTTTAATTTGTACCTGGAGGAACATTATCAGGACCTCTGGTCTGAAAGAACCTGGTGTGGTGATTGTTCTGAGCAATGATCACTGTAAACTTGGGATCCCATTTCTCATCGAGGAACTTGCACGCCTAATAATGTAACAACAATCAAATTTAAACTCCAGAAATGTCCAACATTAGCTAATCATTAAGAGCGTATAAGGTAAACAGAACCAAAATCCTTACTTGCATCATCTGATCTAATTCAATATTAAGAACTTGGTTAAACTGAGATTCACTCACACCATCTCTACATGTATTATTATTCTAATTGAGTTAGAAAATTCTACAAAGCTACTTTCACAAGATCTCCATACCTGAAAATGATAATGTGATTTGGTTTCACTCTAGAACTTGACTCAAAGTCAAGCAAGAGCTCCCTATAAAACACCATTGAATCTCTTAATCATATACCACATTATAGAAATAAGCAGAGCATATTTTATAGAGCTTACAAAATTTTCCAGTAATATTAATTATTACCTCATGATACCTTCATCATTTACATGAGAGACGCGTTTAAAGAGATTATCAATCATTTCGACTTTAGGCGACAGTGTACGCACACAAGCCCTGTATTTTGAGATTAATGGCCATTCTCTTGAACTCACAACCCTATGCATTCCATAGATATAAGTAGCTCACATGAAAATACAACACAAAGAAAGTAACAATTAAAAAAACCAAAAACTAATGTTATACAGCGGCAATAGATGGTACATCAGACTGCCCCGGAGAACCATGCGATACATCCATCCCAATAATGATGGTTGGAACTCTCATTACCAAAGGCATTGATCGTGACCGCTCGATAGCCAACACTGGATTTAATCCTCCAAGCTACACAGAAATGACAGAGATTAAGATAAAATTATAACAGTAACTACAATGATTGATAAAAAGAGATCACCTTGGCATTTATCTTGAGGAGAACATGTGTGAGATACTGATCATTTTTCTGATTTTGTGGTAGGAGCAATACATTGACTCACAATTCCAAATTCAACAATATTTTTCTTTTTCCAAGGACCTAATTATTAAGAGACATGACTCATATGAGGAAAAAAGTATACTATGTTTCAAGAATGTAATTTAATTTAAGTGTTGACTATTACCATAAGCATCAGAGTTTTTCCTTTCTGAAAGAATGCAAAGAAAGAATCTTGGAGGCTCTGGTAGTATGGATTTAATCTGTTCAAACATCTTCTCTACTCTTACAGAACCAAGAGCATACTTAAACTGAGGATTTTCTTCAAAGACGGCGTAAAACGGAGGATCTATGTTCTGAGATAAATGAAGCAAAAAGAATTCTTGTGATTTGGGTTCTTTGTTGAAAGAAATGATCATGAAGAAAGAAAAAGCTTACTATTCCTTTCATCTTTCCACATCTGATCAAATCAGAAATAATCCTGTGCGTGTCACATCGAGCAAAGAAGTTCACAACGGCCCATTTGGTAATCCTGGCTGGCTCAACAAATTTCTGCAAAAGGAATAGAAGTTTTCAAACATCTATGAAAAAAAACAAGTTCAGAAGAAAAACATCTGCTTTAATATTTTCTTGTCCTCGTCATTGGTCCAATCATCTCTAGTGTTGTTTCTGCTACAAGACATGCCTTCAAGAACAACAATGAAGTCTAGTCTGTTTCTAGGAAGAGGACCGACAGTGAAGAAATTCTTGTCGCCATCATAAGCAAAGTGTTTGAAACCCAAATCGATTTGATAAGTCTCTTTAACTTTTTCAAGAATCTTTCTGCCAATTCCCTTGGCTTCAACTGGACTCCCATTTCATATGTTAAAGCAACCTGTAACAAAATATCAAAGATACAAAATCACACTTTAAACTACTTCAAAGGAGTGAGTGCAATTAGGACACTAAAGGAAGCAAGAAAAGCTTCATACACTGTAATGGAAGAAATGTTGACTGTTTGGTTTAGTAAAGTTGGCTCTAAAGTGGTTAGTAATCTTCTGTCCTTTGGAACGGTTGCCACGGCGAGCCATTGGAAGAAGAATGTTCTTGCTTTTCACAGGTTCCAATTCCATTGGTGTAGGAGAATTCATTTCTAGAGTTACAAAACCACAAATGTCAGAGAATTTATAACAAATTTGAGAAAGCAAGCATGAGTAGAGTTTAAGCCAAATTTATAACAAACTTCAAGTATGAAAAATTTAGAAGATGCTCTGATCCATCTTTTCTTTTGGATTTTCTGCTAATGTATTTTTATGGAAAAACACATTAAAAGTTTTTCCCAAAAAAAAAAAACATTAAAAGCAATATCATATCTAATTACCTTGATAACATAGAAAATATACAAAAAGTGTATATTTTTGGATAAAAAATAGATTGGAACATAAAAATAGTTGGTTAAATACTTATCTATTGAATGGATGCGTGTTTTAAAAGAGTTTTGGCTTTTGTTCCTAATAAATCATTTAAACAACCAATCAAGATTTTTTGAATTTTTTTGACAAAATAGGAAAGATCTTTTGCTTTATTTATCATCCATTCAAGTTTTTTAGATTTTTTTTATTTTATAGGAAACCTTTTTCTCAATTTTTACTATTTATACAACACCAAAAAAACTATATTATAAGGGGTACTGAAACTAAAAGCCT